AGCACTGCTTGCGTAGCTATAGCGGCCGCGATGGGTCATGCTCTCGGTGCGCGGGTAGGGATCGTAGTCCATGTACGAGGGTGAGGTACCAGGCATGGGCGGCACGGGGACGTTGATGTTGCTGCTCGGCGGCATCTTCTGGTCCATCGAGGGCCTGCTGAAGTTCTGGCTGTAGTTGCCTGCCCTGTTGGACACAATGGCAATCGAGTCGGGTCGTGCGTCTTCTCCGCCAAAGTGGTCGATCTGGGGTAGAGGCGAGTGGTTAGGAAGGCGGGGAGGCTGTTTGGGCAGCATCGCAGCCTCCCGCTGTCTGCGCAGAGCCTCCTCCTGGGCAAGCGCTTTCTGTTTCTTGCTCATCTTGCCTCCCGATGCGCTGCGGTTACCGCCGCGGGTTTCGCTGGAGCTCTTGCGGCGCAGGAAATTGAAGCTGGAGCGGCGCGGACCGGATTGTGCGTCGCCGTTTGACTGAGAAAGCTTTGGCAATGCAGTGCTCTCGGGCGAGCCGTTCTCGGCTATAGGTGGTGACTTTGTTGGTGTTGCCATGCTGGGTGGGCTGCGTCAGGATATGAGAGGATGGCGAGTACGCGCGCGGATAATTGCAGGAGACGGAAAGGAGGAGGCTGTGGGCGGCCGGGTTGCTGTGGGCAGCATTCACCAACAGCAGAGGGCGGCGATTGCGAGAGATTGAAGGGGGATGGGGCCTTTGAAATTAACGTACGGCAGCCAGTTCGTGCTACTGCAGGGACAGGCGACGGTCGCAGCGGGCGAAAATGCGCTCCGCAACTGATGGCGATAGGGCTGGCGTTCCGGGGGACAGGCAGCCGACAGATGGGGGTCGCTCCGCGGTGAGGGCCGCCAGGACTCTCGAACACGTTGTGATTGAACAGAAGATGCGGCCAGAAACACGGGCGCGACAAAGCTGGGCTTCGTGGCACGACCGAAGGCTAGGAGGAAGAGAAACAACAGAGGTTCAGGGGCAAGCGACCGGGATGGCACGCGCGCCCTCTCCCCAGCACATCACGAAACCCGCCAACGGCCTCGACGACACTCGGCCGCCAGCTTGGCTGGCATGCTGCCGGGACGCTGGATTGGCAGCGCGCAGCATGGCCACGTCTGTTACACCAGCACGCGGAGTGTCACGCTCGATTGACGAGATCGCGGCAGAGACAATTGTTCGTGAAGGAATGGAAGCTCCTGTGTTGCGCATGAGGCTACCGTTTCAGGCTGCGAAAAACACCAGCCAACCATTGCCTCCGACTTTTTCCATTGGTCGAAGCCGCCTTAATTACTTGTCTTTCCAGAACATTGGGCCGCATCCCGCCGCGTGTTATTAATGCAGAGGAAGCGTTGGCAGCTCAATCCAGAGACCATCCGTGCAAGAGGACCCAAATCACCGTTCCTGAAGACCAGAAATCTCGTCATCATGGTGCAGCGACCGTCCAAGTTTCTGTGTGAAGTGCCAGCTCCCCAGGGGCAAGATACAGATACAGATACAGATACAAATTAGCCAAAGTAACCCATCTAGAGTTGCCCCCAGGTACGATTCGCATCGCGTCCATGGCATCGCTTGGCAAACTTTCTGAGCATTGCATACCGCAGACGTCCTTAAGAGATAGTACAATGATGTTATGGTGTGGCTAGGGTTCGAGGCTATCCTTAACGCGCTCGCCTATCGCTCGAGATCGACTGCGATACCCACGCTTCAATAGCAGCCGCTTCCCAGAGGCTCATTTCTATCTACCCCGAGTTTGTTGCATGCATCCTTCTCTCGTCGAAGCCGTTGGGGGCCGAGTGCAAGCCGCGGAGCTCGCTCGTCTATACTAAGTCTGGCAGTTTGTTGGGGATGTTCTACGATATGAACCCAGTACAGTAGCACACCATGACAGCTGCAAACCGTAGGCCAGCTTGTACGTGTAGCACGGTAAGTAGTGCATCTGTCGTGGTGACTATGCCGCAGTCACGATACACATAAGTGGCGTTAGTTTACGCCGTAGCGACGACCTAAAAGCTTACGCTCCGCCTCCAGGCTACTTTCCCTCAAAGGCAAGACCCTCGCAGGATGGCGGATGCCAAATGGCACTACGAGTCCATGTAGGAGTCTACCACAAGCATCGGCCCAATCAAAAGCGTCCATGCGTCTCCTTCCGCACGCCATCCGGACACACAGCTGGGATATTTGAAGTCCTCTTCTCCCAACATTCCTGTCTCGTCCTACCGTTCCTGTCGCAACGAAGTGCTCTCTTTCACAGGCACCTACAAAGGCGGGGCACTATTGTTTATTGGAATCGATCCTGATAACAATTCTCTCTTACCTTTCTACATATTCGTTGCAGCACCAACTCGGAAGAATCGACACACTACTATTCAAATGGGTTTCTTGGACCATCCTACGGCCATTGCCGTCATCGTACTCGTTTTGGCATGGCTTGCTAAGGCGAGCGTGTCACTTGCTCAACATCGCAGAAAGCTCAGCAAGCTTGTTAGCGCATCCTTCCAACGGCAACTTTTGACAAACCACTAAATGCGTTATTAGCCTGGGCCTCCCCATCACCCAATCTTCGGTCATTTGATTTCTATAGGGAAAGTCACCGCTAAGCTACCCAAAAGAGTCCATCCTCACGCATTCGCCACACATCTACTTGAAGAGTATGATCTGCCTCAGGTGTTTTATATGGACACCGTTCCGTTCGAGAAGACCATGATCTTGGTTGTTGATCCGTAAGTTCATTTCATTATTCTTTTGCTGTGTATACTGAGATACGTTTAGGGACTTGAGTGCTTCAATCTCAGCAGATCCTATGCTTCACAAGACAGATGTGAGTTCCCACAGTAGCAGCATCGCATTGTTTCAAGAACTCATGATGTTGTAGAGATATCACGACATTATCTCGCCGATAGCTGGTTGTGAGTCGCCTTGTCAAAATTGTATACGAGACATATTCTGACCTTGAATTAGCAAACAACATGTTGATATCCGAAGGCACAAAATGGAAGCAACAAAGAGCGGCATTTAATCCAGGCTTCTCTGCCCAACATCTTATGGAACAGGTCCCTACCATCCTCGAGGTTTTCGAAGAGTATGTAAAGGCTCTCGACCTACACGCTACGCGAAATGAAGTCTTTCGAGTCGAGGAAGAGGTAAGAGTGTCCCCATCTCTTTATATCTCTCCGTACTATTGGTGCTCAGACAATATTATATATCATTCGTTAGATGTCATGGCTGACCTTTTAACCTACACAGGCGACCAAATTGACAGTTGACGTAATCGGAAAAATTGTACTTGACCACGACTTTGAGTCTTTTACAAAAACAAACGAGTTCGTCACAGCGTTACGAAGCATTCTAACATGGATGGAGGACTCGCAATCACTCAACCTCTTCCATAGAAAGCATCCGATTCGCCCATTGGCCTTCAAATACTACAAAAAGAAGTTGGATCGATACATTGGAGATATCATTGATGAGCGCTTCAGAAATCGCGATACCTCCGAATCCTCTAAAAAGAGGAAGAAGACTAGTATCGATCTGGCGATTCAGGCCTATTTCAAAGAAAGCGGCCTTGACATCGCTTCGAAGAACGCGACAATGGATGCCAAATTCAAGGAGGTCATGATCGATAATATGTTGATTCTCGTTTTTGCGGGACACGACACCACCGCTTCGACGATTTGCTATACATACCACGAGTTAAGAAAGCACCCAGAAGTGCTTTCGAAAGTTCGTCAGGAGATGGATGAGGTATTCGGTTTCGGCATCAGCGCCAGCGAACAAATCAGGCAAGATCCCTACAAGATCAACAAGTGCGAATTTACCCTAGCAGTCATCAAAGAGACACTGCGTCTTTGGCCGCCCGGCTCAACCATTCGCGATGGACGAAAAGATTATTTCATCAAAGATCCAGTGACGGGAGAGATGCTACCGACGGAGGGCTGCGTGAGTTATTCCTTCTTTCGACTTGCATTTAACCTAATGTCGGATGACAGATGATATGGCCCGTCCTTGCCGCAATGCACCGCTCACACAAGGTCTGGGGCCCCGATGCCCACGAATTTAAACCCGAGCGTTTCCTCTCGCCCAACGTTGAGAAAATTCCTCCTAATGCATTCCGTCCCTTTGAAAAAGGCCCTCGCAACTGTATCGGTCAGGAACTTGCTCTTCTCGAGTTGCGCATCGTACTCGCACTCACCATTAGAGAGTTCGATGTCACGGCCGCGTATGATGAGCTGGACAAGTTGAACGGGGATGGGAGCATTTGGGCCACGTATGGGGCTAGTAAGAGTGGTCCGCAGGAGTGCTATGGTGAGAGGATGTACCAGGTCTTGATGGCGGCTGCGAAGCCGTCTGAGGGGATGCCAGCCAGGATTAAGAGGAGGGACATGAAGAGCAGAGTTTGAAGGAATTAATGGCTGTCTCGACGAACCTGTTTGAAAGTCAATCACGTAAAATCATCATTTCTATTAGTGATTGTGTGTCAAGATGAGTGCCACACTTTTGACACCTGACATAAAGGTTTGGTTGGTAACTCCACGTTGCACTAATATTCTACTAGTATTCTCTCTTCAGCTAGGCAATTGAAGTATCTCATTTCAACCTTATTCTTTTACCACACAGTAAGCGACAGGGGCAGCCTATGCATGCTTAGTAAGAACCAGATGAGGTACGATCAAATATCGCTACCACAGTCAATCCTAATCAATCTATTGATTTACACTAAAAGGAAAAGATAGTATTAAAGATAGTAGACGATAAACGCAAGAGCAATTCCTCTCCTACCGTCTCTAAAACTATCTAGGAATGTAATATGTTAGTGGTCAGAAAGATCGAACGTAAGTAGCGTGGGCATCTCAGGTTGGAAAATAGCTGGCAATCATTGTAAGTTCCAATCTTGTAGACAGAGCTACACATTGCTAATGTATGTCTCATCTACAACACTGTAATCAATACTACCGAACCAAAAAAACCTATGCTGCAACACTGACCTGCCCCGGAGCAAAAGAGATGGACTTGCTGGGAATCGAACCCAGGACCTTTCCCACGCCTTCGCTATGAAGCTATGCTAAGGGAAAATTATACCACTAAACCACAAGCCCGAAACTGATGGGCAGCTACCACCCCTGGACTTGCTGGGAATCGAACCCAGGACCTTTCCCATGAATGACGCTGATCTCAAGAGGCCATGCGACATGCTAAGGGAAAATTATACCACTAAACCACAAGCCCGATCATGTTACGTAACGTTACTTGACGAAAATGTTGAATTTAATAACTAAGTACTGGCGGAATGTTCATGTTGCTCGAGATTACCTAGGGGTACTGAACGGGGATGCTAAATTTGATAACCAACTACCGGAATAACATTAATTGAAGGTCCTTACCAAGTTGATGTTAGTTAGCTAATTTCTTTCCCACAAAAAAACTCTTAAATTCATCGACTAGTTCGCCTCAGTGGTACTAGTGTAGAATAACGTGTTCCATCAGTCAGTGGCGCACACTGGTCATTGGCGCACCCCACCAAAATTGCGACCCGTCCTCTATACAACGCGCGATGCTACCACCACAGAAGCCTCAACAGTCCCAAGAACGGGGCAGACTCAAATCTATCTATTCAGGCGATTCAGAGTGAGCAGGTTGGATGTCTCCGCCAGGCTGCGCGACTAAACGATATCCCCAAAACGACTCTCCGCCGACGCACTAGAGGTGCTTGCCCTTAAGCTATCGCCAACGCCCAGAAACGAAAGCTATTACTATAGAAGAGAAGTCTCTTGTGGATTGGATCCTAGGCCTTGATCAACGAAGATTTCCGCCCCAGATAATTAACATACGATGAATGGCAGACAATCTACTTAAGCGCATACAACAACCTGAACCATAACCCTACATGTCTTCTCGACCATTGCGAAAGTATGTTGTCAACACTAAGCTTACATGCACTTACACCTAGGTGGTGTTAGAATAGGTATGCGAGCTGGTGGTGCTACCTTAGGTACCCATGGTTGTCTTCTCACAACACATCAGAAGGCATAGCTCCCGCTCAGAACTGCACAAAGAAAAGATACAATGTACAAGAAAAAGCTCTTGAAGGATATGTTCCCAATGAATAACGTCTCTCGCCGCTCGCGCTCTCAACGAGTAAGATGTTCTACAGGACTAGGATGGAAACCTTAGTTCAGCGCATCATCTGGGAACACGTGAGATTCATATGATCTGTACCGGAGCTTTTTCTCATTTCCGGCCTTGTACCTTCCCCCGCATGCACTTTTCTCAGGTGCTGTCTCTAACGTACGTTGCCCGTGCGGAGGGGTGACTGCCTCCTTGCGGGCGATGGAAAGAGCGCACCGAGCCTAGTGGCTACCACTCTTTCCTGAAAGTCATTCAATTCAGCCTTCGTATATTATTCAGATACTATCATCCCATAACTCACTTGCAACACGGTAGTGTAGCGAAAATGGTAGACGCGTGCTGTTGAAGGGGAGTCCACTCGTTCCTCTCCGAGCATGTTTTAGCCCCAGCATGTCTTCGAACTCGTGGGTCAGAGTCCCTCCACTGCCGCAAGTTCTTTTTCCTTTTTGCCATTCCTGTCTTTACACGGTGTGATTTGTTGATCCTAGTCCATGGCCGCCACCGACTCGCTTCACTGGGCGTCAGGTGGGCCAGCTGCATATCTTGTAACTGATAGATACTTATTACATCGAACCGCTAACCGGTAATATTAGGGCTTTTCAAGGCGTGGTGGTGCTACTATGCGCTACTCATTCACCGAATGCGTTGGGAACATACCGTTGAGGTAGGGGCTTCTTATGTTGGCTCAAGATGATTGTTGAGGTAACTCGAAAGACGTCTATATAAGCGCTACACGCCAAAAAAAAAAAGCAAACACCGTCTAGGGTAAATGAATTACAAAGGTCTTACTCCACACTTTGAGCCTAGCGCGAACACCGCTGCCACGGTTCAACAAACGGGCCCACGCGTGCGATTTTACTTCTAACCGGCGACAAGATTCTATTCTTCTTCCCTACATATTACCTCTCACTTTCGTGGTAGTTCTGATCTCGATCACCATGAGAACACACGCGTTTCCGGATCGACAGTGGACCAACAACATTAACGCGCTCTGGCAAGCCAAAATTTCCAACCTGTCTACGCTCAAGCAGCAACTACCGGGAGCCATCCTAGTTGCTCTCGACTCCGAGGGTTGTAGCTCTGACTCCAACGGGCATGCAAGCACCAATAAGATCAGCGAATTAGGTATCACGGTGCTATGCGCTGATATCGCGACTTCCAAGTTAGGTTACACAAGCAAAGAATTCGGTGACGACAACGACACGCGGCAGTTAACGATTCAGCTACAAGAGAAACCAAAAGTTGAACAAACTTCTAGCTGGATCATACAAGTACAGCTTGCTGATGTAGAAAAGTTAATACGCGACTTCCTCATTAATCTTCCGGGAAGATGTATATTAGTTGGATATGATCTAAATCGAGAACTAAGATGGATTTCCTCTACATTTCCCTTTTTAGCTGACTTGTTTGTTGCCTGGGTTGATGTGCAAGAACTAGTCTATCATCGATGCATTGAAAGTAGTCCAACAACGCTTCGCGTATATGAACAACAAGGTCTTTCCACCGCACTACAGGCGATGGGTTTCTCAGCCCCACCAAGATCCGCCACGACACGCGCGGTTAATGATTGCTGCCGTATACTCCAGGTCCTCGCCGGCCTCATGCAATCCGTCCCATTCAGCCTTCCTGGACCCCGTGGACCGCGTATACCACGCTTCTCAATGTTTCCAAGCCTGCCGAAGCCAGATCAAGAGAAGCATCCATTTTCACTTCGCATCACCCCATCCGATAACCGAAGATTCTCGCCCCGAAGCCCACGAGAAGTAGCAGACGCGTTTAAGAATCATAAAGAACTGCGTGCTGTAGGGCTAAATTGGCAGAACGAGCGTGTGCGACGGGAAGGTGTAAGGTTCTGGTGGCTGTCATTCTCGACTCAGGAAGCCTTGCGCGACTTCTACAGGAGTGTTCACGGGAGTGTTTTCGAGGGCATCACACTAAGTGTAATTTTAGACTTTCCAATAGAACAAATGGAGGAGCTTGGGGGGTTATGTGGATCCATAGGTCAGCTGGACATAAGAGAGAAAGGGCGGGAGTAGGAAGTGGCTTGATACTTTCTACAGCACGAGGACAGAAGTTTTAACTACACGGCAGTACCCCAGGAAAGGCAATGCAGAGTCCGATTGTACTCAGACTTTTGCCCACATCTGTATGCCTAAGGCGCACTGAAAATGGTAATTACGTTACCATCGTTTATATTCCTCGTTCTCAAACCTAAGGCAGTCCCTGGTAACACCCCATGATAGGGAAAGGAGCTTCTATCAAATCATTGATGTCTGTTGGCTGCGTGTCTAATTGTAAGAATGGAGGTCATACCACTGGACAGTTCAGCCTTGCTCGTGGAAGTGAACCTGTACGTTAGCTTCCTTCTGGTGTTACTCTCCGAAGGTAAAAGCTTGGACAGATCTCTACTCTAATAACGGCTTAGCCCTCTATAGATCTTAGGATGGTCTCATATAATGTTAGTCAACCCTGAACGGTGGGAAGATGCAAAATCTCCGGTGAATAGTGCGTGGTTGAGTTATTTCGCGGGATATCTATGTCTTAAATAGTTAGTTGCATGACACAACGAGATCGGATTTGTCCGACCCGTGTCCCCCATGAAGTGCACCAACGCCAATTAGACCTAAAGGCTGTATTGTCTACTTAACAGCAGTCCTCTGCCTATATATTGCACCTATGCCATGATTTATGCCAATCGACCTGCTTGAAGCTGCAATATTTTCTGTGGTGGGAACTTCAGGCGTTGGGGTAGAAGCCTTAGCGGGATACAATTGTTGTCTAAATTCATACGTTTGGACCTACGTACAGTCGATGCCCAATCAGCACGTAAGAAAAACCGAAAGGTGGAATAGAATATATCAAATTAAGTGCCCTAATAAAGCATCGAATTAAGCTACGCGACTAGTGATGCTGAATGTAGGGTCATGAAGCAGAGTCGGAGAATGGCCTTGGAGGCAGTGCAAAACGCACGTACACGTTCGATCAGCGGTAGCAACTTTATCTATCCAGTTTACTAGAAAGACAGAGTTCGTAGTCTGACTTGATGACTTACTCGTCTAGACTACTACCCTCCAAGCATCAAGCATCTCGCCATCCTTGTTTTATTGACTTGCTGACTGACATTGGAGCGAAAACCGCTAATTGTCTCAAGTATTCGCCCGTGTAATGCCGCGTTTGCCAAGCAGGAGCTCCCTACCACAGAGATCGTAATCAGTATCCTTCTGGTATTACACACATCAACCGTCTCATCGAGTCGCGGATAATCCTTAGTAAAAAGGTATGTTCATTGGGTATTCTTGTGTCCTTGTGGCGTGCAGATCCAAAACTTAACGAAGGGCTTCTTGAACAGGCGGAGCCCTCTCCATCTCATATTCAATCTCAATGCGGGGCCCTTTGTGGGAAGAGGCTGGTTTCCTTTTCGCCTTGGGCCCAGAAGCCTTCTCTGAACGCTTTCTTTTCAGAGTCTGAAGTGCTAGCTTCCGTACCTCGGAACCCTTCTGTGCTGCATCTTCCCCACCAGCATCGTCGGAGTCTTCGTCAAAGTCTTCATCAGAGTCTTCGACCGAGCCATCTTCATCCTCATCCTGTTCATTGCCGTCCAACCATTCCTCGAAATCTGCCAAGTCGTCGAAATCACTTTCCACGTCAGACACATATTCTACGTCGCCAGTATGCATGGTACGCTCCAGCTCTTGTTCTCCCTCTTCCTCGTCTTCGGAGATGCCATCATCAGCATCTTGATCCACGCTAGCCAGACCTTCACGTTCAAGCCCGCTTAGCACCTTGTCCCAGATGCCCGGCTCGACGTTCAGAGGTCGATCTCCGTATGCGCCGCTTCGCAATCGGTCTAGTAGGACACGTTCAATAGCCCTCTCAACTTTAGCCGCAGATTCGGCTTTTCGCTCGCGCCCAGCCTCTCTCCGCCGGACCTTGGGTGCCAAACGTGGTACCAACCGCTCACCCAGCCTAGCTTCTTCTTTGGCGAGCTTTTTTGTCCGGATGCCGATCTGGGTCAGCCGGGTCAAGCGCTGCTTATTCTTGTGGACCATAAATTTAGACCAGTATGATAGATGATGGTCAACCTGAGCGAGGGCCTTGGT